ATCATGGCATTATATTTTATTGACCTACAATATAATACAGATAATAAAAGGGAATCTCTGAAAACAAATCACATGAGTTTGAATCTACTCTATGGATTCTTAGCTATGTGTTCTACGTCTAAGAACTTACCCTCTCCATGCCCCAGTTTTCTAATTTAAAAACCAAGGATATGACAGAATTTACTTTATATAGAGTTTGTTGTAAGGATTCAATGTGTCAATAATTACAGTGCACTTAAAAATATGTAGGACACTTAGCATTAGTGATATGTATTTCTTATCAAAGCAAACCTCTTCCAAAACATTGAGAATCTCTTCTTTTAGGCAATAAGTATATCACCTTTTGTCTTTTCATAAAGAGTAATTAAATCTGTCCTCTTTCCTGTTTTGAGGGATGACCAAAACCGGACAGGCATATTGTTGAATAGCTGAGTAATACATGAATTCAATGTAGAAAGGAATTCACAAATTATTAGAAAGTAATTGTTTATGTTGCTTTTGCCTGCTGATTTTAACTGACAGTCTGGTACAGAAAAGCAAGTGGAAGTACAGCTATTATATAGGAGAGTATTCATGGAAACAAGACCCTCTACTCCTCAAGCCAGCTGTGGCTGATTCCACTGAGCTCATATTCACCAAACTTTGAGTCAGGGACCTGATCTCAGAGCAGGATGATATATGAGCACAGCTAAGCCTGTTTGTGTTTCCAACAGACAAGGACATTGACAAGATTCCACTAATGAAAATTCTGTTTGCCATTACAATGTCAAGGTTAATCATTCATTTCAGGTAGATTTCCTGCATTAATTAAATACATTAAGTCCAGGAGTGAATGATGATGTGTATGATTCACAAAGTATGTTTTCCTGTTTTAAGAAGTCTATATTTCATAGCAGGGGATTGACTTAAATGGATATCATAATGACAACATGCTCATTCTCATACTTGACATTCTTGTCACATATTCTTGAGTATTACAAGATCCCAGTTAGATGTATATTGCTAGTATCATTATCATTTATTTATTTTAAGTTGTGGTTTTAAAAGCTCACTGATTTGTCCAATAGTATACAGTTAGTAGGAGATTAATACAGAAGTCAAAATGATCATGATGGTATGAACTCTAAGCTTGTTGAAGGCAAGGAGAATGTAGGGGTGTGTAGAGTTCCCCTTGCCAACTGACGCAGGATCCTGGGTGCAATGTGTGCTCAATATAGTGTGTAAAGTGGATGTGTGAAGTAATACCAATAGTTAGATTTAGGAGTTGGAAGACTTGGTTTATGAGTAAGCAAAAGACAATGAAATGTTCTCTGTGATTTCCTTTTAATATATGGAGATGGTTAAGACTGCCCATGTTTTATTTGTTTGACTGGAAGGAAGAAATGTAAATAAAACTATAAGAATCCTTTTGGTGAATATCTGGCAACATTCTCCAGAGTAATTAATTTTTTCTACTCATGATGTTTTCAAAATTGGAAAGGGAAATTCTTCAGTTATTCAAAGAAAGAGAGCAATAAAAAGCAAGATAGTTATCCCTGAGATATCACCCTTTAAACAACCTGCTTGTTTAATGAAAATCACCAGTAGGTTGATTTAATTCCTTCCCTTATCCCCAAATGCAAAGATAATGGAAATGTCCTAGTAACACGGAAGAAGGCTTATGAGATTTAGTGGCAGGTGTAGCAAGGCTATGAATTAATCAGTTAAAAAAAAAATCAAGCATTGCTTCTAAGTTCAATAGCCATGTACTTAGGTCCTAGATAATTTCCCAGATTTTCCTATGCCTTACCTTTCATCTCACTGAGGAGATGGAGTAAATGATGCTGATAATGGCTTAAAGGACCAAGTAGCTAAAAAGCACTGTGACAATAGCTACAGAAGTGCAAGGGAAAGAGTCAAGTCCTTGTTGTCTCATTGGATCCAAAGAACTACATTCACTACATTCTTTTAAAAGAGATCTAAAGACATAAATAATACCAGTTTCAGAAAACTGACATGGAATGTTTTTGTTTTGTTCTGTAAATGCTTAACTTGATATTGTCATGTCAAGACAGAGAAAACTTCAAACAACAACTGTTATCTGCTATTTCATGTCTTCCCTCATCAACTCCTTCTCTCTCATGCCTCTCTTCTGTATCAAAACATTCTCATTTTTCACAAGCCTATAGAAAATAGCAACACACAAAGATTTGAGAATGCACATCCTCTTTCCAGGGCTTTAAAGATTTTAGGGTACAGGTTGGCGATATTTGGGAAATATGCCGTGTGTGTGTGTGTGTGTGTGTGTGTGTGTGTGTATGTTATATATATCAAACAATATATTAATATATTAGACTCTCAAACTTTGATACCTGAAGAACTTAAGAACTTAGATTTAGGCTCCAACCTTGGAGATTTCTGTTTCATATTTTGAGAGACTATCAGGAATCTGCATTTTAAACAAGCACCTCAGGTGAATCTCATGCATTTCCTTAAAAAAAAAATAATAAACACTGTCATCATCTCTTTTACTCATCTGGCATTTTCCAGTTTTCAAAATGCTTACATGTGCATATTCAGTTCTGTGAGGTAGATGGGAATGATTATCCCCATTTGAGGAGAAAAAAGAGACTCCGAGTTTAGCAATGATTTCCTCAAACCCTCATTACAAACCTCCCTTTTGCTCAGTTCTGTGGATACTCTCCTTAGATGACCTTTTCCTATTCTGGTGTTGACTTGCAAAAGGCAGGGAGCCCCCAAAGCCAAACAGTACTACTTGTGCCTGCCTTGCTCAGGGATGAGAGAAATCTTCTGATAGCCAAGGGAAAAATATAATTTTATTTCTGGAATGTGAACAATTCCCTCATTGACAGTATTACCCACTGATTTTAAGTAATTCCTCTTGTCCCAACCAGGAACACTTTTGAAAATGCATTCAGCTTCACTGTATGTGTGTGTGTGTGTGTGTGTGTGTGTGTTTCTTTTTCACCTATCTTGTTCTGTATTGTTAAGATTCCAAGAATGAATCTGTCGTCCTCATTCGAACTGCTGCAGGGGATATGTGCTTCTGATTGACAGTTGAGGCTCCCTTTCATCAGGGTGTCTTGCCTGTTTAATTTTCCACCCAGCCATATGATCTGTTAACCACTATCTGTCAGCCTGTGCTTTGCAGACCTGGCAGTTTGGAAGGTCCAGGCCCCCAGACCCAAAACACTGTTGGGTTGTCAGGCTCAGTGCTTGGTCTGATTAATCTTACAGACCTCAGTCCTTCTCTTTGCTCAAGTGAATCTGCTAGGCCCACAGGTTTGTGTCTACAACTAGAGAGCTCCTGGGGCTCCATTTTCAGTAGCTTGGAGTGCCTGCAATACCCATTTAATCCTTTAGCACTCCCCTTAATGTTTAGAGAAGAGTTTGTGAAAAGGAGAGATTAGTGGTATTTGAAGACAAGTTGAAGAGAAATTGTAAATATAACTAATAGTCATTCTCAGAACTTAGCATGAATGAAAGGTTACTATTCATTTTGCATTTCCAAAATCTATCCTGCTCCATTTTAACTTGGATGACTCCTCTGCTTCCCTAATGTCAGCTGTAATCACAACACTTCTGGAGATCTGGTTGTGTTCCAAAACTGGCTGTTGCCTGCCTTTGCCCAGGTCACTTCTCCACCCCACCTCCATTCACCGCAGGTGCAGTTTGCTCCTTTGGCCTTTCTTTTTAGGGACTGAGCCTGCTTTGTAGGTTTCCAGAGGGAACTAAGAAGGCAGGAACTAAGGAGGCAGAAGCACTCTTTGTTGTTCCAAAATGTGCTGAATGGAGGTGGGGCCCAACATTGAGAGCCCTAGAGGCCATTTGCTACTTTCCCCAGTGCCCATTTCCTTGCATCCTAAACAGAGAATGCAATGTGCTCCAGTTTACTGAACTCCCCCACTCTTAACCCCTTCTTTGAGCAGGGTCCTTCAACCCGTCCGTGGATGTGTTCTCGTGGGGGAGGGACCGGACAGAGCAGACCCGAGCTGCAGTTCCCTCGCTCTGCCTCTGAGAATTTCTCATCCAAACCTCAATCACGTAGGATTGCGTAGAGAGGAGAAAAGGGGAGAGACAGAAGACACAGAGGAGGGAGAGGGTTGAAGGGAGGGAGGAAGAAGGGAGTCTGGGAGCCCAGGGCTCGAGGAGAGGGAGCAGGATCTCAGAGCGCTGTGCTTCTCTGCGCTCTTGGAGCCCGACACTCCAGCTCGGCCCCACCTGGAAGCTCTCTTGATCTCCTGGGCAAGAGGGACTCCGACTACCTGCGGGTCCCCGTCCCACCCGCCGTTTCGGTGGCTGTCGCCTCTGCCAGGAGTTTCCTGCGGGGCTAGCGCTCCAACCTAGAGAGCCAGCAGCGGCGCTCTGGAGCCAGTGCGGTTCGGCGCGCTCAGAGCCTCAGTTCCATGAATGGGACTCCGCCCTGAGCGCCCCCTTCCGGGCTTGAGGAGGCGGCGGTGGGGGGCGCCCAGCAAATCCACTGCTCTGCGCGGCCACCCGCGCAGCAAGTTGGGCGAGTTGGCGTCCGCCAGCACCTGCCTGCTGGTTTTGGCCCCTGAGTCCGCGTCCGGCCCCAAGGGCCTGGGTACCGCTCCGAGTCGCCTCCCGCTGTCGCCTGGGGCGGCCTAGGGACCCCGCCTGCGCCCCCGGCGCCAGACCATGGTGGGCAGCTCCGATCCGGAGCCGCAGCCGCCGCGAGCCTACGTCGCCCTCAGCCAACCCCCGCCCCACCCGAGCAGACTCGCGGGTGTTCGCAGCGCGCTGGTCACTTCCTTCCTCGGCCGGGATGGGCGGCGCGGGACTGAGTGATCGGCCTCGTGTCCGGCGGGTAATCCCCATCTGATCTGCTGCCTGAGACCTGCTGACTGCCAGGGCGCGCAAGCCTAGGGGGTCCGGGCAGCGCGGCCATGACCTGATCTCGAGCCCGCCAGGGCGCCCCCTCCTTCCCTCCCTCCCTCCCTCGCTCCCTCTGAGCCTGTGCGGAGACCTGCTCGGTGCGGCGGCCCCGGGCGGACCATGGCGGGGAGCTCCAGTTAAAGGCGTGTGGGCGCCGAGCTGGAGAGGACACCTTCGGCATCGCTGCCTTTTGAGGGGGCTTATTTAAACTACTGAGTCATTCCAGATTTAGGATTCCCTAAATAATCACCAACTGTGCCCGTCTCGTGCCGGAAAGCAAGCGGAAAGAGAAAGAGCGCCCGCTCTTGGGACCCCGCGGATCGCCTCTCGCGGGTTGCTCCCCAAGGGTGCTTGGCCCTCGAGGATCTCCCTTCCTCCCCCCGCCCCTTCGTCTCTCGCTCTCTTTGCAGTGCTGCTGGAGGAGAGTCGCACTCACCGCAGCTGGAAACAGCTGCCCCCGCCCCGCGCCCCTATCCAGACTCCGGCAAACCGCTCCCACTTCGCGCCTCTCAGAATTCCAGAACTCGGGCGGCCGGCCCCTGGAGAACCGCAGCCGGTGCAATGCATTCCGTAGACCTCACCAAGCCGGGACGGACCTCCTAATCTCCAGAACTGCGGGCTGCAGGGAGTTAAATTGCTGCCTTCCTCTCCTCCTCTCTTGCGGTTGGTGGCTTGTTTTCTAAAGGAACGTTTTATCCACTTTTTAGTATTTTCTACCGGGGGCACCGTACCCTCCTCGGTCCAGACGCTGCTTTGTAAACGCGTTTTCTATGTATGTATGTGTAGATATACTTTGGACACCTTACGACGCTTGCGCCTCTCCAACAGGGGCACGGCTTGTGATTTCGGACATCCTTTAGCCCCTTCCATTTGGCACCCTGAACGCAGTGTGACCAAACTCACTACCACCCCTTGGAAGTGGATCGCCTTGGGGTGCAAGTTTGGGGTGCACACCTACTTCGCAGGAGGGCCTGGGACCGCCCGGCCCCCGCCCCCAGCGGTTGGGGAAGTTTACATCTGGATCTTCACACATTTTGTTGCCACTGCCCAGACTCTGACTAACCTTGTGGGCGCAGGGTTTTCTCTACTGCAGCCTCCTCAAATATTAGCACTGCCTCCCCGCTCCTGCCCTATCCCTCCTTGCCGCCGAGGTCCTGCCCTCGACCCAGCGGAGCGCGATTCGGAGGGCGCCGTGGAGCCTAGGGCCCGGGGCCCGCGCTGAGCTGCTATGGCTGCGGCGATAGCCAGTTCCTTGATCCGGCAGAAGCGGCAGGCGAGGGAGTCGAACAGCGACCGGGTGTCGGCCTCCAAGCGCCGTTCCAGCCCCAGCAAAGACGGGCGCTCCCTGTGTGAGAGGCACGTCCTCGGGGTGTTCAGCAAAGTGCGCTTCTGCAGCGGCCGCAAGAGGCCCGTGAGGCGGAGACCAGGTCAGTAGAAGCCCGGACAGTGGGCTCCCCAGAGGCCGACACCCTTTTTCCCCCTTCCTTAAAGCACCTAGATCTCCAGCTCATGGAAAGAAACCAGGATCCCTTTCATTGTGGCCTTTCCTCTCCGCTAATTTCTAGACATCTCTCTTTCAACCACTGTCTTGTCAGTTAATAGCTTCTTGTCCTATATACAGGAAAACTTTATGCTTTGATCAATACACAGTTTGACTAGAATGAGAGTCAGATATATAGATACACTAATCCCAAATAGTTTGTAAAGTCTTTGAGGGCAATGATCATCCCATCCATCCATCCATCCATTCAATCATTTTGTCACTCTTCTTTTCCATCCATTCAACCATCCATCCAATCTGTGGAATATATATATATACTCCACCTTGAGCACCTAAAGATAAATCAAGCTCTTCCCAACATCCCTAATAACATCACATGATAGACATTTAGTGGACACCAGATGAACTTAAATTTAATCTCATTTTTCTAACTATTCCTTCATTTTCCTTTCACAGTCCTCTTCCTCTTCCCCTTTTCCAGCCACTTTGATGGTTTCCAAAGGCTCTGTTTATAAACTTTTCTGTCCTATTACTATCCTTGCACACATACACTTTTGAGACATTATTCGAACAAGATAATACCCACAGTTTGGCCTTAGGGAATGTGAAGAAAACCTCAGACTTATTAGAGATTTTCATAGCATTACCTTTCTGATGAGGATTTTCTTCTACATCCCTAAACTCAAATGATTATTCTTTGATATATCGCTGCAAAGGGAAATTGGATATCTCTAGTTTCAGTGTGACAGTTCCCAGCCCAAGCCACACCAGTATCCCATCTTGAGAATGAAAGCAGATTGTCAAGATCTGTGCTTCCGTGAGACACATTGATCCTGGGTGTGGCTGCAGAGTCAATTGCAACATGCAGATGTTCTACCTTTGGTGTGGAGAACTGAAAGGGAATACTGGGTGGAAAGAGAACCAGTTCTATGATCAGTTGATTAGTTTAGGTTAGCCCCTTAGCAACTCTGACATGGGTATGGGGTATTCTCTTCGGTTGTAAGAATGAAAACACATAAGTTACATTCAAATGGGGTTTAGGATTAGCTTAAAAATTTGGGAGTAAGTCTTGCAAGGAAGTCACCTTGTTTTGTTTTCCATTGGGTCCTCGTGACATTAGTCACTTCATCAGTGAGCTCATTTTTTTTTTTTTATTCTGTGATGGCATTAGAGTAATAAATTTCAGAAGTAAACAACAATATAATGAACCCAAGGCAGGAGCTACCAAAGTCTCTGTTATTTTACATCTACTTGATATGACATGTATATTTTATAAAGTGAAGATTTACACAAACTCTGGAGTTATCACTGTATATCCAACGATTCGTATTGGGGGAAAATAAAATCCTCTGTTTTGTTGCACAGGGTTAGTTTGGAAGCCTTCTCTTAAGGATTATATGGTGTACAAGAAACTTCAAGGCTCTGAACTCAATGTGACTCTTACATCTCTGTCTCTAGTACATTGTTGCACTCTAGTTGGAATCCTACTAAGCCTCCTCAGCTAAAAACAAGGTAACCAGTATGGCAGGTGGATTGTATTTGTGAATGGATAAGATAAACTTATTTGATCTTTGTTGAAGCTGATTTGCAAATGAACAATTTGCAATGCTTAATTTTGCATGGGAAGGAAGGATTTTGTGCTTTGCTTCCTGTGGCCATTTCCCTAGTATCTCATTTGAAAATAAGGAATTTCTGAGTTTATTGGGTTTTTTTTTTTTTTCGGTGTTTATTTAATCTGTTTCTCTTTTTCATCTAGTTGGTGTTCATCTTGCCAGGAAGGCTCTTGACTGGTGACTTCTTTACCTAAAGTGTCATGGTAACAGTCTGGCACAGAGACGGCAGGAACTGTTGGGTGCAAGGCAACAGAAATGCATTTGTATACCATGGACTGGGGTTTGTTCTGAAGCTTAGCTTAGAGGAACTGGAGTGTGGTATGTGGTAAAGCTTTTGGGGAATATGACAGTGTGCCATTATCCTTACTAATGAAACCAAACAACTGATTTGTTGATCTGCTGTCAGAAACCATGATTCATGTAGTATATAGGCTGAGCCTATTTATATAGAGATAGAACCTTCCACATCTCAATTCCACAATTTATTCTTTAGTGGATTGGGAGGAAGTTGTTAAACACCAAAAAGTTCTATTTGAAGGAATCAGTTTTATAAGCACTTTGGCCTTATAGTCACTATTATTTGAGTTATTCTTGAAATCACTAGCCTTTCTAAGCCATACCCTTGCAAAGTACAATCTGAGTTACAAACAGTGAAGTGGTGACATGAAATAATTTGCCCTGAATTTCCACTGTGGATTTCTAACACTGAGACACACATTCCACAGACTTTCTAGGAGAGTGCGGTTGAGGCAGTAAGGCAAAGACAACTATTTAATGGGAAAGGCCATGCTTGTATTTCTGATCCCAGGGCTGATACAATGAGTATCTCTCAGTCTCTTTTCTTAGTTCACCAATTTCTGAGAGTGTAATGTTGAAACTTTATAAGCCCAGTGAAGATTCTGAAAGTATGGTTCAGGGACTAGATGTTAAAATCAATCTCAGAAACAACATGAAAATGTGGAAACTGGCAGGGCAAGACCTCACATTACATAGTTCCAGGGCCACAGTGGGTATCAGATGCTTCATGAATGCCTTTCTGGAGTAGAATGTGATGTTGCATCCTGGGGTTGTGCAACAAAATCTTGACCCGTATAAATGAGACATCCTAATGCCACAGCAAGATTATATTTTCTCTAAAGTTTGTGGCAAAATTAGGGCTAGAACTATATTCGCTAGATTTTCCCCCCCTATCTTTTTTACAACATAACACAGAAAAGGTAGTTTGAAGAAGAGGAGAGTGTACTCTGTTAAAGGATGGAAATAATTTTATTTATTTAATTTTTTAGGGCTTGGTACTACTATTTTCATTATTTTTTTATAATTAGTAAAAATGGTTTAGAGAAGGGAATATACCTCCCAGATGACAGAGGCAAAGCCTAAAAAAAGACTGTTGGAATTCTAAAACAACCAGCTATAGCTACACATGCATTATCTAAATAAATCTGATAGTGACGGCCTATAGGCAACCTAGAAATTGTGACCCATTGAGCACTGGGGTGGGCTTTAGCTCTTTGGAAGTGAATTGTTGGAGACCCTGTATTGGCAGTTTGACTGAGGTCATTGGATCCAGTCCTGGCTCATTAGGCCTTCAGAACTTGTTGGTTTGTTGTGCACTTTCTAATAAAGAGAAGTGAATTCTTATAGTCATTATTTGAGTCATTCTTTACGTGTTTGTGAAGTATCTAGTTAAACAACCTTGCTAGAATATTTGCTAAAATGTGGATGCCACTTGATTTGCTGTGTCTAGGCTGTTAGTAGATCCATATGAATTACATGGGTTATTCCTTTTAACATTTGTTTCATTTTGCAGAGAAGCATATGTACAAATGACTGACTCCAAAATGATATGTTTTAACTTAGAGTTACTGCAGCTAGTGGGTAGCATTCACCATCAACAAGGGAAAGTGTTTATAGAATCTCTCAATGTCTGAGTGGCTGTGATTTGGAGGTCATCTAGTGTCACTCTTTTGCTTTTAAATGAGACTCTCTAGAAAGTACAGAGTAACTAAATGAATCAAAAATTGGAATATTTTAAGGGATCTTGGTGGTTTTATTGTTTTTCTGTATAATTTAGTTTTTCCCTTAAACCAGAACATTAAACAAAATCATCCTTAGGAAAAAATTCTCACCTAAGAAAAATCTGATATTTTTCATAATATAAGTGTTTTGTTTTATATGCCCTTACCTTCAAAAATAATGTAATATAAATTTATCTGTGATAAAATAAATCAAAGAAGTGATTAAAATTTTACCAAATTTTGTTGATTTTTATTTGTCTTATTTTTCTGAGTGTTTTTTTTTCTCTTATGAAAACTGTAGTTTATAATGTTCTGATGTTCTTCCAACTTGTTTTGGTAGATGTATGGAATTTAACAATATTCCTATTCAACATTTTACTATCAAAGCTTTCCTTTCATATAGAGGAAGAAATCATCATAGAAAATAGAATCTTCAAGAAAAAAGGTAACAAGAGAAATAAAAGAATGCTTAACCTGTGACCCTTGAATATAAATTAGATTTTTATAAATTGAATAATTTTGGTCAATAGCTAAATCAAAACTTACTTTGTATGAAAAGTGATATTTTACATATATTGTAAGTACTTTGAATTTTCTCTTTCAAAAATATGACTCATGTCTGAAATATAAAATCAGCCTAATTAAGTGATATTTGCCTTGATGTTTGTTTAAAAAAAAAACAGATTTTCTTTTTAGAAGCTCACCCTAGGGTTTAAGCTAATATTTCAAATTTTTTTTCTTCAAATTCGATTTTTCTCTGCAGCAATGCATTCTCATCAACAAATTATATTTCCATTGTAAGAACATTTTAAAATAGCAGGTACTGTGATCTCTTGATTTCTTTCATCCCACAGAGATCTCATCAAGCCATAACTCAGGATTAAATCTTATGAAGTTGATATCCTTGAACAGAATTAGAAAAAAACAATTTGCAGGAAATGAGGTAGTTTCTGTATTTGAGAAAGCAGGGAACATTTTTGGAAGATCTTTACAAACTAAAGGGTTGTCTCCTATAACTGTATTTCAAAAAAGTCCAGGGCTTACTCTTGTGCCATTACATTGCTCTTATTCTTGGTGAAAACTATTTTTGCATGGATATTACAGTGTGGATTTGGTTTGGGAAATTTGTTGGTAGTGAAGCACTTTTTCTTATCTATTCTTTTTTTATTATTTATATATGACAGTAGAATGCATTACAATTCTTATTACACATATAGAGCACAATTTTTCATATCTCTGGTTGTATACAAAGTATATTCACACCAATTCGTGTCTTCATACATGTACTTTGGATA